GCTGAGGTCAAGAAGATAATCATTTCGAGTAATTTGCATGCATTCTTGCGATAAATTGAATTAAACGAATTAGAGAAAAAATCATTTTTGTTTAATAAATTTTTTCTTTACAAAAATATTAAAGTAAATTTAATAAATTTAACTTTAATATCTTCAAAAATTGTTTAAAATTTTTTGATCTTTTTGCAAGTTAAAAAAGTAAGTTAAAAAGTTTTTACTCTGTGATAAGCTTTGAATTTATTTCTTGTTACACCGTTATTGTTGTTATTGAAATGTTTTCGTAAGTTGCTGAAAGGTTCGCTATCAGGTCGATGTTTCTGCTGCTTCTGATGTTGTTTCTGAAGCATTTGCTTATATCGTCGTCTTTGCCGTTCGGAATGCCTCAAACGATTGTACGCTGAAAGTTCTGAAAGCAAAACTGATTTTTTGTTGTTACAAAAATAGTATCCAAAATTGTAATCAAATAAAAATTTTCCGTTCTTTCAAATAAAATGAAATTATTACTTTTGCATAAAATTCATTGACTTTGAATTTAATAGAATATTTCAGTTAATGAATAGTATTTGAACATATACATATATAATTTCATTTTTGCTGCTATAATTATATTTGAAATGTAATGAACTGATTCACGTAAGATTAATTTGTACATTTACTTATTACTAATATATAGGTAATTTGTCATTAATATATTTTGATATTTAATAATGTTTCTTCTTTAATCTTTCGAATAATGCATTAAAGATCCATTCACGTATTTTGTTTTAAAATGTTATTTATTTATGTAAATAATAACATTGAAAATTAATGAATACTTGGCATTGTGCAAGAAAAGTTACCTGAGTAATCACGTGATGTGCCTGGCTTTTGTCCATCATTGATGATAATCGGTGATATATCAGTAATGTTATTGTTACCACTGATAACAGTATCAGCGTTAGCAGCAGCAGTTTGTAAAAAATAGTACTTATTATCGGTAATAACAATAAGCAGAGTCATTATCGCTGCTAGCCAAGTGCCAGTTTGCATAAATGTGCGTGATGGAGGACATATATTATCTCAGAGGCTGTTTTTGTCTTATGCAAATTTTTTTTTTGCTTTTTTCCAAACTTTTCGCAATTAGCTTTATTGTTTTTAATTGCGATTACTTAATTTTATATTATTATTATTATTATAACTATTATTAGTTATTATACTTTCAATATTTCTTATTTTAAATCAATGTTTGGATCTTTATCACTACTACTGCTGATGTGAGGAATTGCAGTATTATAGCATGTAGAAATGTCACACAGCTCTTTGCCGGTTTTGTTGCAAATTGAGCAGAAATTTATCGTTGGTAATTTGTGTTGTTTTCAAGCAAACTTCAAAAATTCTTATCGTCACACCACGATCGCAATACTGACACAGCCTGAAGAAAAATACACTTTCAAATACCTTAGCAGTTAGCGATTCCAAGTAATGGAATCACTGTTGAATTATTTTAATTATTAAGCCTCAAAACTGATATCATATCAACGTAAACTTGTTTCGTTTCAGTTATGAAGTATTAAAATTAATATGAAATTGCATTCAGATCCTTAAAAAAGAATCTCTCAGAGGAATAGTACTTAGAGAAATAGGTAGTAATTCAGTTATTGAATAAAACAGTAATAAAAAGTGTTAATAAAACTTTATAAATTGAACAATAACAAATATTTTATTCCAATATTGTGAGATTGTGAATTGGAATTCATAAAAAATAAATTATAGTATTAAAAAAGAATAACGAAAACCTTTCAAACAAACAAATTTTTGAAATAAATTTTGGATGAAAATAAAATTTTGAAAAGCTTTAATTGTATTTTTTAGTTTTGATTGAAAACTTGGAGTAAGTTTTTATCAATTCAAGGATTTTGATATGAAAAATAAGAAATAATGCTGATGCTTGCCTTTTTGGAAATATTATAAAATGAAATTCAGTGATTCAAAAAAATCAGAAGCTTTGAAAGTTGAAGAATTGGTGAAGCACAATTGATGCTAACAAAATGATTCATACAACATTCCACGATATCACTAGCAGAAAGTCGCACGTAATAATTTGTAAAATGTCCCATTTTATATTGGTACTGGGTTAATAATTTGGACTGAACTAAGTACTGTCTTGAAAATTTTAAATAGTTTTCATTAATCTCGCGCACAAATAAATTATTAAAGGATTTGCTTACAGCAAAGCAAGAAATGATTACATTATACTATCTTCTAATTGACCTTTTTGATGGGTTTTTATAAGCTATAATATCTTTTGATCTGTCTTTTCATTCTTGCTTACGAAGTTTGATTTTAGATAATATGGAATACTCATTTATCAGCCTTAATTGAATTTATTAAATATAAGCAGAGAAAAAGAATTGTTTTTAAAGACGTCTTCATTTACATTTTTTATTTCTTAATTATGCTAATGAGTGAAAATTTGAATAAAGTTATGTGGAAGCTTTAGTCTAAACTGTAACTACTCATGCAAAAGTAATCAAGTACTGCTTACTTTTTTGTGGAAAGATAAATGCATGGAAGTGTATAAAATTGTTTATACAAATATAAACAAAATATTAATAAGTATGAACTTCATAATAAAGCACTTAAATCAAATATTAATGATTTCCATTACAATATTATTTACTTCACTGAAATTAAATTATAAAAATTGTGCAATATTTTCTCTATCTTCCAGCATTACTGAATAAGTATTACTTAATTAAGTATTAACTGAGCAAAATTAGTAATAGTAAGTATAGTTTAGTGATAAACAAGTTGAAATAAAATAGCGAAATTGATGTTATTTACTTTCATGCAATACTATAAGATTGTTAGAGAGAGTAATTGAGAAAGTTTTGTGATATCTTCGAGAAATGATTGCATAAATTAAAAATGCTATTTTTATATTTTTTGAAAAGTTACATAAAAAAGCATAAATTGAAAAGTATTAAAGCAATCAGCAGGCAAAGGTGAGATGGAAAATTTTCGTGAACATTTTTCATCATGTGCAACAACAAAGCGGCATAGATAGATAGGTAGATAGATAGGTATATAGGTAGATAGGTAGATAGATAAGTAGATAGATAGGTAGATAGATGGTGTTAAATGATTGAAAATAATTTATGAACTTTTTTTTGTTGTTAAAAACCAAGCGCAATGGTAGGTAACTAAGCAAAACTATACAACAACAACATGTACCATCTTAAAAACACGTTTGAAACGTGAAATATTCAAAAACATTTTCTTGAAGAATACCAAAATCGAAGTTGAAAGTTGAGTTTTGTTCTCAGTCAAAATTCCAACTTGTCAGTTTCAGTCAACAAAGTTATCAGTTTAAAAGTTTGGCTTGCAGTGGTATGTGAGTCCTTTTAATTTACGAGCAAAGAAGCACAAATTTTAGATTGTTACCGCTATTGTTAATTTCTTGATTAGCATATTAATTATTGCTATATTTATTAATATATAATATTTATGATTATTTTACAATATTTATTCGTTGTTCAAGCTGAAAAAACTTTTTGTAATACTAAATCAATAATTGAATAATGAACAAGTAAGTATTAAATGAAATATTTTGTTACACTAATGTGCTTTTTCAGAAAAATTTCATGCAAGAAAAATTTGAAAGTATTTCAAAAAATTAAAATGTTCGATGTGATTCCAAGAAGAAAATCATGATTTATTTAACATCTTATAATAAAATACAAAATACTTTTCCATCTTAATTAACAGTAAGTTAAAATCATGCATTCTTCTACTGAATCAGTTCTATCATACAAAGAACAGTCAAGAAGAAAAAATTTTATATGATAATATTGAAAATATTTTTACTAGAAAAGTGCATAGTGTTTAATAATAATGTATTGATTGATTTTTGGTTTTCATACAACAAATCATTATTCGACAAATACCCAAGTAATTAAGTACTAATAACATTTTTAATTCACTATCAAAATTTATAATATGATCTTGAATTTTTTAAAATAATTTTCATATTTGTGAATAAAAACTTGCATTAAATTTTCCTAGTTTGAATTGAGGTAATAACGCTATAATAATGTTAAATGCTGTAATAATCTTAAATCATTACAAAAAAAAGATGAAATATTAAAAAAGTTTAATTAAAAACTGTCATAATAAATATGCTAAAAAATATTTATAATTATTATACAAAAGTATTTTTTTCGAGTAAAAATTATTTGAACAATAAGGCGATAAACGATGTCAATTATTAAGCAGTGTTTTTGATAATTTTTCATTTTAATAAAAAGTTAAAATGCCAAGAAAGCTTTTAAGGCATTCTAAAAACTTACAAATTCAAGTAATGATAGGGCATTTCAGTGCCTTCCTTTGCCAGCACAAATTAATCAAACTTTCTCTTTTATTTTTTTATTTTTTATTTAAAAAAAAAA